TTTTTGGTAATATGTAAATTATACATCAATTTTTTTCGTTATTTTGTTCTTTCATATTTAATTTATTATAAAATATAAATATTATATGAAAGTCTGACTCACTAACACACAACATAGGTAGCAAATTTTAAATTCAGAATAATCCATATTTCATCCTGTTATTTTTAATTTTGTAATTTTGATTATATATCTTGTTAGTTAGTTTGAACTTTCAATAATTCAATTGTAATGTAAAACTGTATACCTGATTAAAAGGCGCGGATCTAGAATAGATTTACAGGGTGGGGAGGGCATCTCGGATAACATTTTAACCAATCGACAAGGCAATGTATTTTATCTGTGCACCGAAAACAGACATTCTAGAATTCACCAGTTTACCGGGTGGGAGGGGTGGGAGAGGGCATCGACCCTTCCCCCCCCTATGAATTCGCGACAGCCTAATTATTATTATTTTTGTTTTCATTTCGTTCAGTAGGTACAGATTTTTTATTATATGCATATGAGATAATATTTAGACCATAACTGGTTTAAAACGGTTTAAGAAACGTCCGGTTGGAAAATTATCGTCTTGGCAAGGAGAGAAAAAAGGGACGATTTCATTATAAACCGGATGTAATAAATGGTAGTGGCCGTAGAGGGTCACGACGACACCGGTGTTTCAGCAGAGCTCCGTGCTGCTACGTACCATACAATCCATAACTGGCCGGGGGCCCGCCGTGTCGGTGGTTCTGGTTCTGCAGCCGGTGCAGCTTGGCGGCGGCCGCGGAGTAATGTGGTGGCGGCACGGACCTGTCGGCGTAATGCATCATCGTGGTCGCCGTGATGCCAACCACCGTGGGCGACGGTCACACGCCGGCCGCTCAACCACGGCGGGGCCTCGGGCCGCGACGACCGCCACAACAATGGCACCGCGACGTCGTCGGCACGGCCACTCGGCCAACCTGGCGCGCCGGATATACGCCGCAGCAACTGGGAGACTCGCGTGACGCCGCCGGTCCGCCAGCGGTGTTGCGGCCGCCGCCCGCTACGGCCACGGGCATGTGGTATCGATATGTACGCTATGCGGCGGTGCAGGCGAAAAACTGCACGAAACGTTTTACGGTACACGTATGCGTTGTGATGATGCGTGCGATATGCACCGTAATCGGCAACAACAACAACAACAACAATTGGCAATAGACTGCGCGATGGCAAGACGGCGGCATGCACGACGAGGCAGCAGCGGACACGCGAACACGACGCGGTCTTGCATCGACGGAAGTAGCGGCTCTATAGTCACGGCGCGGCGGCGGTCACTAGTTCACACGGACGAACGCGATGCGCGCGGCTAACGATTTTGTTATTCGCAAATATCCCGCGGGGCGGTTATAACATTATAGTATTATATATATGCGCTATCGTTCATAGGTATATCATATACATAGATATATACATTTATAAAGGCGACTGACGCTTGCGCTTGCGCGTGCCTATATAGCATACGCCACGCCGCCTGCACGCAATAACACGTAAAACCACCCACCGACCCACAGACCCACASACCCGCAAAACACCGTTTATCGCCGCCCGTTTATCGCTATCCGTAGTGTAGCGTAGTTGTATGTGTGTGTATCTAAAATACTCTATATATACACCCGTGATAATAATAATAATAATATATCGTACGATATTGTATGATATAATAATAATAGTATGAATAGCGCCGCCGTGTCTCATCGTTCGTGGTCCTCCGCGATGGCTTTGCGACGGAGGCGGCGGCGGCGACGACGGTGATGATACCGTAGCCAATGATCAATACCACCGCCACCGCCGCGAGACCTTTTGACCCGTCGCCTCGATTCCATATCCGCCGCTTCTTCGTCGTAGTTCGTCCCATATTTTGACCTCCACGGTAACGCGGCCGCCGCCCGCGTGCACGTGCAGCGACGTGTACACTGTACACCACAACCGCGTGAGTCATTGAACGTTTTTGTCGCCGGCGCTTTTACGCACATGCACATTATACTATATAATACCTACCTCGTGGCCTAAACACATATACCGGGTGATCCGTTTAGTACGTAACACACTTATCGTCGTTATTTCAAAAACTATAGTTTTTGAAAATGTTCCGCAAAAAAAAGGGTGTTTTCACTATTTTTATCGATAGTATTTTTTGAAATTTTTATTGCTAATTTGTACAAGCACAACACTTAATGGAGATATCTACTTTTATATTAGAGGTGACTAGGTGAGTCAATGTATCTATAGGTAGTTCAACAAATCGAACCAAACTTTTTAAAAATGTTTAATATGGTTTGAAAAAAAAACCAAACTCCAGCTACAAATAGTTTAAATTTCTACAAGTAATCTGAGCTCCAAAGGAATGTACGACCTCGAGAAAAAATTCAAATATATCAAACTTTAATTTAATTAATTAAGTTAATTTTCAGTTTGCAATAAAACCAAAAATTTTGATTTGTAACTTAACACAAACRMTCAGTTCGGATTCAGTTTGGCATTGGAATAAATGTTTGGAACGCGTTCGTGTTTCGATTGAACATAATATGAATAAAATGTTCTGTATTCTGTTGGAGACTAAATTTATGAGTTTAATGACCCACTTATATTAGGTATATCATAATACTCGAATTTCGAACGAGTGCCTATAGTCTGTGAGTTATAAGTAGAGCGAGGATTTGTATGCATTTGCATATTTATTCTGGTTGATCGCATGATATGCTAAGTGAGCACAAAATTTGTTTCATGACATAACGATTTAAAAAATGAAACTTTGTTAGTCCATATTTTTGAATATTTCGTCATTTTTCTATTTTAATGGCTTATTTTACAATTTTAATTGCATATTTCATCTTTTCGTGCATATTTCGAT